CAGACCCATAGAACACAACGTTTACTGACATTTCGGCACCCAATATAAAAGAGAGCCTTGTTCACATTAAAGCCTTAAGAAAGGCACGGCGTCCCGAAGTACCCCTAAATATGTGACGTAAGCAATAAGAGTACATTGTCTAAAGTGTCCCGCCACTCCAGCGTATGTACAGTAGTCTGTATCTGGATTCCAGGTGCAGGCATGATGAAAGCTTATTTTGAATGCGGAGCATTCTATAGTCACACCTACTTGCAAATTCGGTGTTGGCGGTGGTGTCTACACCCTACTGCGCATGCTTGCGTCTCGAGTCTCATACCGCATGCTCGCATCTCGTGCCAACTGGGGGTGTCTTTACTTGGCTTCTGCTTGACTTGATGCTTTGCTTACTCGAGTAGATGCGATGGAAGCAGCAGTACCTTCAACCAGTAGTGGGGCACAACCCAACATCAGTGTCCTACATCTCGTTAAAGACAACATTTTTCTTTCATTCAATAAATATGAATATTAAAGATGAAATAATAATTAAGCATTCCCAAACCATACCCAATTATGCAACATTCATGTAATACCCCCACTGCTCTGTGATGCATTTATTCGAGTCCCCCCATGGGAACATGCAGGTTTTTTCTTTGTCCAGAAAACACGTGTTCGACCAGTCTATTGGTGGTCTGTGGATTCCGCGTGGTCAGCGAGGGCAGTTGAGGCCACGCATTGTTTTGTGGCATCATATTTATGTTGTCTAACTCTTTTCTTGAAATCACCAGTTTCACTGATGTACTGGTTGTCACAATTGTGGCAGCCTATGGCATAAACGAGGTCAAGGAAATCCCTGCTCGCCAACTTGTCCTTCACTTTGGCTAAAGCATTCCTCAGGTTACACGTTGGTACATGCACTATTTTGATGTGTGTTACTTCTACATATTGCACGGAATATCTGACTTTCGAGCTACATTACCCACTTCTGTAAATTTATTTATGTTTGTCTAGGCTAAAACTGCCTTCAGCAGAAGCTTACCAGGCTACTCAGGCCTTTTATTATTATTATTATTATTATTATTATTATTATTATTATTATTATTATTATTATTATTATTATTATTATTATTGGTGATGCAACAGCAACCATCCTCAGCTACACACTTATATCTGGTAGCTCGTGTTTCAAGGGTAGCACTTGTGTAACCTAAGGTAAATTTCTCGTTTCAGTTTTGTGAGGTATTGTAAAAATACATCCGCAATTATTTTTTAATGTGACGTCCACAGAAGAGTACGTGGAATCTGTGGAATCAAAGTATCTGTGGAATCAAGGTAGCTGCTTCACCTTGACAGATTCCTTCTTGCCATCACATATTCAAACATCGGCATTTTAAACGCCGTCCCCAGCTTTCATTGCAGTCATCTGAGGACTTCCGTTGCACTTCAAGTGTCAGAGCTCAGAGACATAAAATACAAACATGCATGTGCGTGTCGAAAAAAAAAAGAAGGAAAACTTTGCAGTGCGGCTCTGTTCTTGCAATGTTGTCGTTACTCGTTGTCAAGGCAAGGTACATAGGATAGACTAGTAGTAGTTATTCAATTTTTTTTTTGCAGAAAAGTATATTCTAGAAGTGCGCAAGTTAGGGGGGGATGCAAATTAATAGTAAATACAGCAATCCAGGTCGAGTCAGATCTAATACAATTTACATCCTAAATAGTTGAGTCGGTAAAATCAGCAGTTCAGGTCGATCTAATTCAATTCAATCCAATCCACATCCTATGCGGCGTGGCCTATAGCCATTATAAGAAACTAAATTATACTCCAGTGGCAGAACTGGCCAGGCTCCCGTGTCCCCATTTTGCACGGATGCTGCGAGATGGCACTACTTCTGCATTTCCTAGCAGCTTTGACTGCGGTGTTGGACTATCGCAGGCTCCTTCAAACTTTCATTGGTGGTTACTTTCAAGTGGCCCGTTTACTTCGTGGTTCTTCCGAACATCTAACAGCTGACTTGCTCACTGCCTGGCTCAGGTGTTTTATTTTAGCCAGACATACAAATTTTTCTCACATTTACCGCACGCGCTCTGAAAATTCTGAGTGCGTCTGGTAAATATGTTGACTTATTTTAGATGAAGCGCCTGATTTTTTTTTACAACTTGAGGGTTTGTTTCCAGTGCACAGAGTTTTCCAAGCAGACATGGCGGTCATGGAATTTGCTTTTAATCATCATGGAAAACCTGGAAAAGTCGGGGAATTTAGAAATATCAAATCAGTAGACACCCTGTTAAAGAACATTGAAACCATGGTCGAAGAAGCTCATTCTAGGTTGCTGGCTCATGAGTCGACTCGCACGGACTCACTCAGACTCAGATCGAAGTGTGAGTCTGAGTGAGTCCGGGTGAGTAATATTTTGATGAGTTTGAGTCCGAGTGAGTACGGTTGAAGAAAATTTTCATGAGTGTAAATCTGAGTAAATCTGGCTCAGGAAAATTTTTGAGTGCGAGTCCAAAGCTCAAAATATATTTTATGAGTGAGTCTGAGTGAGCTCCAGAAGATTTGCTGTCCTATGCTCATTTCCTAACATGACTCTCCCTTCCTGCGCGGTTCGTTGGTGCTTTGAGATCGGTAGTCACGTTAACCCCTCTCACTCAACATTGATTCGAACCGGATGTCTACTGGCGCTGCGCTCAAGTCACCTGGGAAATTTCGCGCGTGCATGCTGGGAGAGAGATTTTCTCTGGACATTAAAGGGTGAGAACACGTTTTTACGTCTGTCAGCTCTCTTTCTCTTTGGAGCTCGCTCGGACTCGCCAGCGGTGACTTGCGCCCACGCCGGATGCTTACCTTTTTTTGCCCTTTCCGGACGCTAGGTCAAAGAGAGGTGCGTTGTGTTTGACGTGTGGTCTTACTACGCGGACCTGTACCTCTGGAAGTCAACGCGAGCGGAGTGTGCCCTCGATCGAGCCATGTTGTTGCTGATCGTAAGAGCGCGCAGCATAGTCCTGAGGGCTTGTTTTTCTTCAGTGGCGATATATTTCGATCCCTTTCGCCCACGAAAACGTGCTCGGGGCACCCTTTTTATTGTACTTTCGCCTATGGCGTGAATAAGCCTCTTTTGCTTTCCCGCCGCCTTTTGGAATGGGCGCTGTACTGCGTTTCTGGTCTTGCCACAGGCAATAAATTGTTATGAATTGTTGATAGCAGTACTGTGTACTTTCCATGCTGTGCTTGGCGCCTTGGCTGTCCGAACGCGCGTGTGCAACGGCGTTAGTCACACAAGGCGACGGTGGGTGCGGCCATGTTGCTCGCTAAGACCAAACCCACGCTAGTGGTCGTACTCCTGCGGGATATGTGTAAACTATAGTTTCTACTGAAAGCATGAACACCATCATAAGGTCTCTTTTCTAATGTAATAAAAATAATGCTCTGGAAATTCGGGAAGTATTTCGCTTTACCTTGCATCTTGCATCACCATGCAACCAAAGCAACTAGAAAATCCCTCTTAACATAAAAATGGGAAATGTATGGGGAAAAAAAGGAACTGGAGGCTTGTATAGAGATTGTGATTCTTCTTCAAATAATTGAAGAAATCATGGGTTACAAAGAAGGATGCATGGAGAGTATCAAATCTTGGACCTAGTAGGCATTGTTTGTGGGCGGTTCTCTGTGATTGGTATCATTCCTTACACTGAAAGATTATTTCCAGGTGTATTGTAACATTTGTAGATGGAGAGAGGGAGTGAATGGCCTGATGTCACAATGAACTTTGAGCTCTTCACATGATAAATTAACCAATGGGCTTTTGCAACCAGCAGTAGCCAGTCACGATGGCGAGGCCAAAAGCCAAATTTGGTTGTTTTTGACAATTTTTTATAGATGGCAGCACATTATTTAATGTTTGCCAGTTGCTTGATATTTTGCTTGAGCTGCTTGAGTGGGAAAGATGCAATGTTGCTCTTCACATGCCTGTGTACCTCAATGTTTTTCACACGAACATTGTACTCAAACAGTTGATGCGGTGAAGCACTGCTAACAGAATAAAACAAGATTTGTCATTATATGGTGCTTTCTGGGAATTTTATTTGCTATTTATATGCACCAACCCATGCTGCCTGCAAGTGCGAAAATGGTCCCAAGGAACACCATGAAGGAACGTCCGCGAAACGCGTGGAAGCCGAGGGGTAAAGAGGATTAAGTGGACTCCACCGTTTATGATATTTTTAATAAAATGACATGCATGCATATTCTATTGGAAAACATAGCCTTACTGCTGTACCTAAGCTTGGGTATTTGTGTTGAACAATGTGGGATTGGCAGCTCTGTTGAACTGAATGATACCAATCACAGCGCGGGTTCTTTCAGGAAGTTCGCGTGCGCCGCTGTCTTGAGAAAATTGCCTTGATAGGGTGCTTTGTGTCTTAGACACAGCTGTCCTGAGAAAATTGTCTTGAGCCCCGTCGTGGTGGTCTAGTGGCTAAGGTACTCGGCTGCTGACCCGCAGGTCGCGGGTTCAAATCCCGGCTGCGGCGGCTGCATTTCTGATGGAGGCGGAAATGTTGTAGGCCCGTGTGCTCAGAATTGGGTGCACGTTAAAGAACCCCAGGTGGTTGAAATTTCCGGAGCCCTCCACTACGGCGTCTCTCATAATCATATGGTGGTTTTGGGACGTTAAACCCCACATATCAATCATCAGAAAATTGTCTTGATAAGGTCTTTGTGGCTCAGACTGCGTAAAATGCCGACCAAGTTCCCCCATTCGAGCAAACACTCTTTCCCTTTTTCAGGAGATCTGAAATAAGCGCCAATGACTAGTCCGGCACCGAGCAAGCACCCTCTCCCAAATCTGGTTAGATGATTCTTCACCATGAGGGGTGGCGGAAGCGGGGGGGCTTGCTCCGCATTTTATAGTGATCACATTACTGGTTCATGTATGCAACTCCATATTGAGAAGAGGGCATTTGTAAAAATTGGATATTGTATTTTTGCTTTGGTGCCTTTAAGTGTTTTTGTTTCATCTTCTCAGGTGGGAGGTGAGGTACGACCAGTTTAATCGCAAGTACTATGTGGACCACAACACACGAAGCACAACATGGGAACGACCGCAGCCTTTGCCTCCTGGGTTAGTTCGGCTGCACATTTTTTCACTATTTATTTTTTTCAAGGTTATTGTACTTAGCTGGGCTTGACAAAGCCAGCATGTTAGGATAAGTGTGGGTTTGCAGTTTTATCAAGTGGTTTAAAATATGCACAATATCAAATTCAGCAAAGCAAAAGGGCAATGTATGTATTGTCTGTAAATGTCAATGAAAAGGCATTTGTGATTAGCAGTGTGCCTAACCTATGTGCAATTTTATATTTTGTGAAAGTAGCCTTTTCCAGTTTTATCTTATTCCTTATTGCTAGAAGCAGAGGCATGTTACTTTGTGTGTGTGTGTGTGTGTGTGTGTGTGTGTGTGTGTGTGTGTGTGTGTGCGTGTGCGTGCGTGCGTGCATAGCCAAAATGTATGCACACTGTTTTACGCTGTTCTCATATGCTTATGCTTATGTACAGGCATATCACCACTTAATCTTTACCAATGACAACTTAGATTGTAAGCAGTCTGTGTATTTTTTTGGTATATTGGATTGTTTATGTGTAAGCATTTCTTTTCGTACCCTGCCCATTTTTCACAATGTGGCAAGATAACTGGTACCTCTGCCTAAGTGCAGCAACTTTCAAACATGGCAGTTGTGCTTGTTGTGCTCACAATGCTATACCACACTTGACTGAAGCTATACAAGTTTAATGAACTTTGATGTACCAAGTGATCCACTACGTATGCATTCTCTGGTTGCCTATTCGCATTGCATTCACATTGACATTATTCACATTGTGTTATTCAGGAGTAGTGGCACAGTAGATTTCTTTTCCTACCCTGCCTGCCTTCCTCATCCTTCTATAAAAACCGTACCTATATGTATTAAGAAAACTAAATACCCTAGTCTCGGTACCTTAGATTGAACCAAGAACGTCATGGCTATGATAGTGGCTTCTTGTAGCACTACTTTATTGTCCAGAAAAAAAAAAAAAAAAAACTTGGATGACCAAATTCAGAGGATAGTTCCAACTGCTACTTTTTAACAATGCGATATAAAATATGAACTTCCTCGTGTGATTATTGCTTTAAATGCGATACCTTATACCGCTCCAATGACCAGAGGTGTTATAGCATACTGTATCTACTTGCATAATTAATGATGGCACTTTTTTTCCAGCAATTGACCAGGAATGAACACTATGGTGTGTAAAAAAAAATTTTTTTTGGAGAAGAGTGTCTGAGTACCGAAAACTCTGGGTGAAGGTCAGAATTCGTATGGTTACTGTCACTACAACCACAAAATCATGTTAAAAGTCCTATGTTTGCAATGAGTCCTTTGGAAAATTGTCTCGTGAAAGTGCAGTGTCTGCATGAGGATTGCAAGAATATAATGGCTACATAGCGAAGCAAGAATAAATAGTTATGCTAAAGGCTGGTGTAACATTCAGTGTATGTATACGTCTAATTGGATGTTGCCACAGTAACTTTGGTGCAGCTACTACCAGCAAAGAACACAGATGCTACCAACATTAATGCTACCTGGGGAGCAAACTGCAACTGTTATCCAATCATACGGGGAAATAAAATCGTTGCTTATCCGAAAGCTCAGAGCTGGCAGCAACAGTGGAATGAAACTGTCAAACGCATCTTGCAGTTTAGTACCATGCTGTCAATTTAGCAAACAGTGGAGTAATAGTCTGTCATTCGTTGAGCCATGTTCTACATATTGCGATTCCTGCTATGTATTGTATTGCTGTGGCTGTGTTGAAAAGTCCCCGCCGCGGTGGTCTAGTGGCTAAGGTACTCGACTGCTGACCCGCAGGTCGCGGGTTCGATTCCCGGCTGCGGCGGCTACATTTCCAATGGAGGCGGAAATGTTGTACTCAGATTTGAGTGCACGTTAAAGAACCCCAGGTGGCCAAAATTTCCGGAGCCCTCCACTACGGCGTCTCTCATAATCAAATGGTGGTTTTGGGACGTTAAACCCCACAAATCAATCAATGTGTTGAAAAGTAGCATTCATTTGGAAATCCTATGTAAAAGCATAGGACTGTACTATGGTACATCGTATTCCCTTCACTTCTCCGCTTGAAATATTAGATGCTGGGCTGCCTTATCTCCTCGCCAGTTTGCTTCTAACCAGCCTGTGATTACCTGCATCATCTTAAATAATCACAGGGGTGGAACAGCTGTGCCATTTGCGCCATGGAGTGCCAAACTCGTTTACTTGTGCCATCCTGCGCCAAACCACTCCTGCTGCGCCAAACTCGCCTATCAGCACAGTACTGCGCCACAGCACCAGAATTTAGCCGCAAAATGGGAAAGCCATCAAGCGCCGTGCCTGGAAAAGTGGCTGAAACATTGTCTTGTGGCTTTGATCAAAACGGTTATAGTTTGGGTTTTATAAAGGCTGTGATCACTCCAGGAGCAGCTGTGAACTTTGATCCTAAGGGCGTGGTCGCGATCGCTATGCGCGCGCAACTTAGGTATGCATCAGCAGGAATAGCTTGTGAACCCTTACACATGCTGCGCTCTCAGTGCGAAGACATGGCGACAAGACCATCTCGCCCTGTTTTGTAGAGTTATTCGATATCGGATCTAAGAGAGTAGTTTGCTGCCAGCCTTATAATTTATTGCAATCGAATTCATTGCTTTGTCATTCCAATGAAACTGTTTCTTCATAACATGATGGCAGCATTAGGAAAAGAAATCAAGGATGGCAGTAATAGCACTCTAAAGAAGGGGGCGTGGTGTCTGTTTCTCAAAACAGCCTAGCAAAGACAGGTGCACCGTGCACACCACTGCTCATCAAGCGTATGCGCGTATTCTCGTTCGTTTGGCCACTGTGCTTCACGCTTATCAATTCAGCGGCTAACGATCGCATGTTCAGGTAAAGGGAAAAAAAAAATAAACATGGGCGGCTGTACATAACTAAGAGAGACGCAGTTGCACTGCAAATGTGAAGCAATGAATGCGATAGCAGCAAATTGAAATGTTGAACGAATTGAGGCTGGCATCTAACTCATTTGGATCCAATCTCGCGTAACTGTACAAAATGCTGGTTTTCGAAAACGCGGCCACTTCAAGGAGAGCAACACTTTTTGAACATTCTCTTTGCGATGAGAATGCAGCACGTAGAAGTGTATGCGAGTCACCCGCTGATGGCTGCCGGGCTAGCATGCGCACCACCGATCGCGACCACGACCTTAGAAGCAAAGTTTATAGTTGCTTGAGCGACACCTGACCCCTCCACTTTCGCTCATTGTTTTTTAATGCTCCTCCAAGACTGGCAAAGTACTTCCTCTCTGCTTCGAATACAGGCCTCCCAGCCAGGTGTATCGGATACTATCGCAAGTGGCCTTCAAGCGATAGAGATGGGGTGGATTGTTTGACTTCTGCTTCAGTTGCGTTCATTGGCTTTGCTTGCGCGCTTTTACTCGCAGATAGAACATCGATGTGCAGGAGTATGTTATCAATTTAGAATTTATACGGGACGTGACTGCAAGGGCAAAAACTCGTCAGGAGTGTTCATATAATTTTTGTCGCAATAATGGGACTATTGTGCAATTTAGCTGAGTGTTTAAAAGAATGTAGGATTGAACAAATGCAGCTTCACAGGTTGTTTGAAAGGGGCTTAATCTTCTCCGAATGTTCTTACTGCTCTTAACTTGCTCGAAAAGGCCCTTCTAGCTGCTCCAAGCCTGCTACAAAAAGCCTTTTTGCCTGCTGCCAGGACTGCTTCCAAAGCTATATAAATGTATACTCAAGATACCAACACACATTAGAGCAATCCCACAATCTGTTGCATCAAAGCCAGATAATCAATTTTTCTTTCTGGTTTTCCCTTTGTGTGATATCACCTTTGTTATCACTTTTGTGTGATAGATGTGGTGAATCACTCACTGAGAACTACATCCTCATCCAATGCAGTGAATTAGACTCTATTAGAAAAAAGCCTTTTTCGTGATGTTCATTGGCAAAGAACCGCTTTTTAAATATCGGTCATTATTTGCATTTTTAGACAAAATTCAAAGCTTCAGCATCATATACCAGGGAAATCCGTAGCATAACCTCTTCTGCAGAGGTTGTTGCTGCGGCAGCTACTCTCAGAGGCACCCGCATCTCACCCTTTGGTTTAAAAGAGGCTGAGAAGGCGTTCGTGCGATTTTACAATCACTCACTTGTAGATACCATGGTCACTTGTAATTCATTCCATACCCATACATCAAATTGCGTATCACTTATAATTTTAACACTTTAAACTTTTATACAGTGCGGGAGTTTAGGCCTATATACAGCCGTAATACACCTTGTAATGGCAATCATTGGTCATTGCTTACATCGCATCAAAGACATGGCGCTCTTTGGCCACCCATGGCCCTTGCACCACAAAACTCCACTAATTTTTTTTTTTTGGTCAAGGCGAAAGGAGGCATGCTTACAGAGAGGTCATCCTGCTGTTGCATTTTACAGTAGTATCTCGATGGTACGAATTTTAAGGTTGTTTCAGACAGGCTACGTTATATAAAATAGGCCGTCATTCGGTCATATACGAACAGTTTGCCCAGCCGCGGCGGATGATACGAACGCAGGGATGACCATTTCACATGAGCGGCGCGACTCGACGTGGAGTGGCCACCGGCCCACCGCCATTGTTGACCGTTTTCGTACACCCCCCACCCTTTTCTTTTTTTCACCTCTTGCACTGCCCCAGCCTTAAAAACAGCGAAGAAGCATTTTTCCTAGCCTGCTCCCCGCTGCCCCCCACCCGCGATAAAGGGAAAAACCACTCAGGCACGGCGTGAGGGGAAGAGGGGCAACAGGCATGCGTTGCCTTTTTCGTTTCCTGCCCTGGTCACGTGCCCGACAAGGTACATCAGCCCTTTCAGGCAGCTCATTGGCTTTTTTTTTCTTTTTTATTGCAACACCATTTTCACGCGATGTGAGGGCTCTCGTAAACACTTTGCTGCTTCAAATGCTGTGTTTGTATAATATTCGAGAGTTTTTTGACTGCCTAAGCTTGCCACGCACTGTAAGACCA